CCGCTCGCGGACCGCCGGCGCTGGGCGGACAGGGTCCCGTGGCGGACCTCAGACCGCTTCCTGCCAGGACCCGCATCCCAGCTCCCCGGGCTGCCCTCGTGGCTGCGTCCCCTCCAAAGGACACGGGCGCTCTACACCGCGAGTTGCCCCCTGAACCCTCGGAGAGGGAGGCCAGCAGCTCCTTTACCTCGTTGGTGAGAATCTGCCATCTGGAGAGCTGCTGCCTTCTGACAGCTGCGATGCCCGGGCTGGAGAGGGCTCAGACCATCTCTGAGGCTCCTCGGTTCCTGGGTGGCGCGCCTCGCTTGAGAGGTCATTCTCAAGGTCACACAGGAAGTCGGTATCAGAACGGGAGAGGAAACCAGGCCGTCTGGGTGTTCCCAGTTCTTAGTCCCATTCTGCCTGCTCTGGGCCAAGGTCACAGCACAGATTCTAGGTGCAGGGAAAAAGAGGCCCCCACACCTCCTGGTACCGGTGAAGAACCACGCCTAGAAATGTACCATAAGCAACTTAATTTTTTCCGTAGAATTTGATACTCTCCTTCTCCTTCGTTCGCATTTAAAACGAGGTCCCCATGTACTGTTATTTAGTGATAAGGCTCTACCCTGAAGCGTAGGCGTCTCCAGTTTCAATCCTGGAGTGCTACCGACTGGTTCTGTGACCCTGAGCAATTTACTTAACATCTCTGAACCTTAATATGCCCATCTGTAAAACATCTATACTTGCTTCACAGAGTTGTCTGATGATTGAATATGAGAGCACCTAGCACCTGCAGAAGGAACACACACCTGAAGCTTTTTTAGTTATCGACACATTTATCCAAATGAGTCACCAAACAGATGGTGGCTCTTGGGCATCAGTAGCTATGTAACTTCCATGTCATTGTCTAACCCGAAGCCAGTCCCTTAATCACTGAGTTTACACTTAAGACCTAATCTGCGGCAGGTACACGAAGCCTTCAGAATAAGAGACTAAAGCGGCACTTTTGATAATCAACGTGCTAGTCGATCTGTCTTGCTTTTATTGTGGCCTACAAGAAAAAAAATAAACCACATAGATATTGAGAAAGTATTGGGTTGTGGACTCAGAAGACAAGGTTCTCCTCTGACACGGACTCCCTGTGTGACCTTTGACAGTCATTTGACCTCTGTGGGGCCAGTTTTTCCCTTCAGGGATTGGAATAGAAGGTGCCTCAGAGACAGGTCATCTGAGGAAAATCCAATGTCTGAGCTAAAAAAGTATAGTTTCATTTTACCTTCGACATCTTTGACAGCTTTTAGTCATGAAATCGACTTTAAAAGTATACTGTACTTAAGTTCTCCAAGCAAAGGTAAACTGAGTGTTCAGGTTTTCAGATCTGAGGTAGCTTGCCACATTGAGCTAATATATGAGAAAATATTCCTAGGAGGTTCCCGCATATCTCTGCAAACGTGCAGCATTAGCAGCCGTCAGAAGTGGCTTCGCCTCTGCCTCTTGCTGCGTGTGGTTTAATTCTGTGCATGGCATTTCTCTGTTAATATTAATATAGGTCTCTCGGCTGCTAGGGGCGTTCCACAACCCAAAACAGGTGACCAGAGGTTTTGCTGGTGGTGTGAGTATAATTACCTTTTTTATTTTTTCCTTTTAGAAGTTTCTCAAGAAAGATGCTCTAACACATTTGTTAGATAGCCCTTGATCTCCATTTATTTAAAATGAGAGAAAATTGGCCATACTTATACTGTATATTAATACTGTCGGCTAACATGTATGAACCTATCAGGCCACGTTTAAAAGAATTATATTACAGCTGGCTATGTAAGCCTGTCGCATTAATATCTCGTTAAGGAGCCTTGTTAAAAATAGATCGAAATTTCCCTTGAGCCTGTGCCTTTTTTTTCACAGTCTCGTCTTGGTAAGACAGTTTTCTTCAAACCCACTACGAGTTGAGAAAAATTGTTGAGAAGCTTCAAAACCTGCTTTGCATTTTTATTTTGTGAGCTTCCCTAAAAACAGTAGATTGGTCGCCCATTCGGAGTGCCTCAGACGTCCGCGAGGCCCGTAGGCTTGTGCTCTCCCTACGCAGTCTTAGAGACTGTCCGGTTAGTGGAGCATCTATTTCTCATCGACTCTGCTGCTTTTAGAATTCCCGGCATTGGAGTTCTGTGCTTTAAAAGCTGATAACCACATTTTTAGAGCATTCTAAGACTGTGGGTCAGTGACTTTCTACGCGGTTTTATTTTACGTCTTCCTACAGAACCTGATTTGTGTTTCATGCTTCTTATACTCCCATATGACATCTTACTCCATGAGGGATTTGTAAGAGCATAGTACTTTTTTCCATTCATGTTCTATACCGTGGAATAAAGTCGATTTTTCTGGTGGCCTGATGACATTGATTGAGACTACTTGGGAGAACAAGAAGAAGCCAGAAGGTTCTGGGCTCTGCTCATACAAAGATGCAGAATATGGCTGCACTTACAGGCTCAAGGACGGCGAAGCGTTTTAAACACATTCTGAAAGCTAATGAGATCATCATTGCGCGCTGCTATTATTTAATTTTTAGGCTGTCCGTTAAAAAATTGTTTTAGCCTGGCAGGGAAGGGGCTATATTTGAAAGAAAGAAAAGGAAAAACTAATTTTTAAAAAGATTTCTTCAATGTACAGAAAAATTCAGAAATAATTAGTCTACCTGTTCAGGGAGTATCACCGGAGGGCGAGACCAGGGAAACGAATCAATGATTTAAGGAAGCGTAGTTGCAGGCAGCTGGGATAGACCATCGTCTAGACCAAACCTCCACGTGGGAGACTGTCCCCAAATCGTGATGTATCATTTCCAAATGGAGAGAGAGAGGGTCTGAATATCATCTCAAGTCACTTGAATCCTCTCATTATTCCTCTTTGCACATTTTTATTTCTGTGTTTGCAACGCTAGCTTCGTTTTGTTTGAAGCCTTTGAAATAAATGGCTGATGTTACATTATAAATACTCTGTCACTCTAAGTGTAACTCAGACTTTGCAGGTTTGATCACGTGCTGTTCTTACTGGTTACATGTTAACTTTGCTGAGCTAATTTCAGTTACATGTGTCATTAAGGAGACAGTTTTATGGAGGAACTCAGAAAGATGGAGACCCTTTCTTGATGGTGAAGTCCCATCTTCTCCGAGTGCCAAAACGGGCAATGTTTCGTGGGGAACAAAACTTGCCATGGAGGGGAAAGCACATGCCTTCGTGACGAACCCTCTGAATGTCAGCGAGAGGGCACTATCAAGATTTTTGCTTCCTTTGGTTTTACGGACTTGAATTAATGGGACCCTTTGTAGCTTTTCTG